TGCAGACATCTTTTAAACATCACTTAATCTCATATAATCTGCACTGCTATCTTGTAAGATAATCAGGAAAAATATCAGCATTCCCACTGAAATACTGAGGTCAAACTATAAAGTCACCTAGATATTAGAGTGACAGGCACATCCTGGAACATTGCTTCTTGGCCAGTGTTCTTTCTCATATACGACAATTTAATATTAACAACTATATGGCAGTGGTAAGGGAATAAAAACAATGACTGTTTTTTAAGAAAAGCTGCATCCCGGTTGAACTACCTGACATCAAATGCTGTTTCCCTGCACATATCAAACATTTCCTTAATATGCTCCTTCTGGCCTGAACCACCAGCACTACACGCATGGCTGTCCCAACGGCCAATGTGGGACGGTCCCCTCAGGTGGCACAAACCACCCAAAGGCACAGTCATACATGTACCACCAGTGGTTCACAGCGGCCTGCAGCGAGACATGCAAATTATGGCCCCATCATGAATGTATTAAAGCAGGGAAAAACAGTGTTTTAGCCGTTTGATAGTTTACCATGCCACTAAACTTGAATAAGAATGAATTACATAAAACTGTACTTTTGTTATTATAAAACATTTAATATACTTGCTATATATGTATCTTTTATCTTTATTTTCTATTTTCTGTGTCTTGACTTGATTTCATGGTTTTTATTTTCTATCTTTTAAAAAAAATTCTTCTAACCTGAACAGTTCCCTAATCACCCTCAGTTACACTTGCTAAATTGTTCTGGTGTCAGCCATGGTTCGAATGCATTTTGTCTCCCCAAGGCTCAAACCCTAGAAGCTTGATCCTCGGTGCTGGGCTATGGAGGCAGCAAAGCCTTTGAGAGGTGGGTCCAGCGCAGGCTAACTAGGTCACGGCGTCCACCCTCAGGATACCCGCGGTGAGCAGGCAGGGTTGGAGGTAATTCTCCCAAGAGGCATTCTCATAAAGTAAGCCCGCACCATGTACTCAGTCTCTTTGGAATGGAGCTGTTCGCCTTTCTGTTTCTGTTATGTTGTGATGTATCTGAGGATGCTGGTACCATACTGTTTGCACAGTCTGAACACCAGCATCACATCACAGGGCAAATAAATTAGAAGAAAGGGAGAACCACGTGTGGTAGCACACACTTGTAATCCCAACACTTGGGAGGCTGAGACAGGAGGCTCACTGTGAGTTTGAGGCCAACCTGGCCTACAAAATAAGTTCAAGCCCAGCTTGGACTGCATAGTGAGACCCTGTCTCAAAAAAGACAAAAAAAGGGCTGGCCAAACAGCTCAGCAGAACAGTGGCCAGAGTTTGATCCCCGGCATGCGTGCTGGCCCTGCCCCAGCTGGGAGGGCGATTGTGACTGGGTGTGGTATGTGGTAGCACGCACCTTTA